CATGTGAAATATTTACAATGCTTCATTCCATATTTTTGTGGAATAAAACTGTATAAGCTTCTTGAGAAAGCAGTAAATTACATTTTTAGCAGTATATAAAAATATCTGTGACAAAATATATAAAGCAAAACTACTAAACACAGTAAAAAAATGTGTTGCAAAAATAAGTTGCACTTGCTAGACACATGAAAACACATGACATACAGTACATGCAGATACACAGATACACACACTGACAAACATGCAACTACACAAAGAGATGCACATACTGACACATACAGATACACAAACACACAGATGCACACACTGACACACATACAGGTACAGTGACACAAAGATACATACACACACACAGATACAGGAACACAGACACACAGATGCACACTCTGATACAGATACACAGACACACACTGACAAACATAGACACACATGCTGGTCATCTTTTAACCACCCTCTTGTTACTTACCTTTTAAGAATAGGAGGGTAGCAGCTGGTAGAAAGTGACCTGCACTTACTTCCTTCCACAACCGGCTGCCAATATTAAAAGGGGCCCAGTCACGCTGTTAAAGGGCTGCAGTGCATGAATGCGCTCCTGATAACACATGCCCATTGGGTGGCCCTAAGTGCATGAGCTACCTCATGGGCTTACTTATTGTGTGGGTCCCGCTGCAGCTGGTGTGTTAGTTCTGCTGTTGATGGGTTATACCGATTATCAACGTGTTTGTCGCTTTACGTTGCCTTCTTTAAATAAAGAATTTAAAATATATGTTCTGATATCATGTATATTCACATGCCCATGCAACGCAATGTTTTTTGTGTTTTTTTATCATTTGTATTTTATAATGAATGACACACAAGGCTTGAAATGTATCTACTAATTTAAAACAAGAACGATAGCTAGAGTATAGTAAATGAGATTGAAAGTCTCAACTTTCTGACTCATCAGAAAGATTTTTTTGAAATGCATTTTTAGGCATATTATATTTAAAAATTAAAGTATTTTGATGCTCGTACACCCCAAAGCAACACTTGAAGATGCTAATCAACGTTAATATTACATGATAAAATGAGATAGGAAAATGTTTTGTAGTATAATGTAGAATTACTATTGCTTTCTATATAAGCAGATGTAGAAGATAAAGTTACTTCTTTCTCTTGAACAGATGCCGTTATAATTTGTATTTTCTCACTAGTCAGTGAGAGATTAGTGACTTCCTGTGCATCTCACTAGAAGATACGCGTGATAGGTGAAGGGTTATTTTTCGCTCTGAAATGCAACTACAATTATTATTTTTGTATTTTTATGGATTCATGATAAAGTAAAATTCATATGGATTTGGACCACGCTATTTTATTAACTATGCTGTGAACAGAGGAGTCTCCTTTGAGAAATTTCTACAACAGCCTCATAACTTGGCATAGGCAAGGGGTTCTTTTTTTTTGTAGTGCATAGCATATCAGACAGGAGCACAAATACATTTTTCATGAGAATGATTGATAATAGGTGTAAACCAGGGCTCGAGTCCTGCAGGAAAGCGTGGGAACGGCGTTCCTGCACTTTTTTCACAGCAGGAACGCCGTTCCCATTGCTCCTGCAGGCACTCATTGCTGATGATGGGAGCAGACAGCCCGCGCGGCGAGAGGGAGCAGTGCAGAGAGGACACAGTTCCCTTGCCGCGTCTGACAATGAAACAGGCGCCCGCCGCACTGAAGCCCCACTGGACCCCAGGGACAGGTCCATGCCAGCTCTCCTGGTAGGGAGGCTGGGTGGACTTTTCAATTTTACAAAATAATAATAATTTGTGTGTTTCTGTGAGTGTGTGTGTGTGTCTGAGTATGTGTGTGTGTGTGTCTGTGAGTGTGTGTGTGAGTATATATGTGTGTGAGTGAGTGTGTATGTGTGTGAGTGTGTTTGTCTGTAAGTGTGTGTGTCTGTGAGTGTATCTGTGTGTGTGTCTGTGAGTGTATGAGGGATGTCTTGGGTGAGTTCCCACACCTTATTCCCCAGGACTTGACCCCTGGTGTAAACATAACAGCAAATGTCAAGAAATACTGCACTGTGTTTTTATTTTTTTGAGCTTCAGGTTGCTAGGTTCTGGTAGCTCAAAGCATAATCCTGGCATCTCAAGCTTGTTTAGAGGCTTAGTCTTGGTCAGTGTCAACTCCAGCTTCCGTGACTTTTATTTAGGTGTAGGCAAGGGGTGCTTTTTTAACTACCATCAATCAGGAGATAAACTCCATGCTGTTTTCTCACAGCACACCAGGAAAGGCTAGTGCGCTGCGCTAACTCACAGATGCCACGTGGATTTCACAGACGCCACATGGCTCTAAACGCCGGCAGGTGGCATAGAACCTCCCCGCCGTCCTATGTACTTACACACTGGCGATCGCGGTGGGGGGACTCACCTGGCATCCCAGGGAGTCCTCCTGCTGCTGCCATTCCGGCCCTCCTGTCCATAGCAGTGCCAGCAGGGGGAGTGTCTGTAATGACCCTAGGGTCTGTGCTCAGTTGTTTTGTTGTTCCTCTGGAGTACAGAGCCAGCTCCTGACTAAAGTGAATTGATTACTGTGGAATTCCCTTGAACCAACTATTGTCTGTTTGGAACCTGCCTTCAACCTTGATTAACCCCTGCAATGATGATTCAGCTTTGGTTAACTGCTGTAGTGCTGTTTCAACTTTGGTTAACTGGTTAACTCCTGCAACACTGTCCCAGCTTTGATTTATCTCCTACACTTAAACTACAGCTTCAATCAAGTCTTTCTTCATTTACCAAGTGCTGGAACTCTGGTAAAATGACTTTATTTTTCTTTAAAGACTTTTGTTTTATTATGAAGGATTTGCTTTGTTTACTATTTATACATGCATTGGGACTTGCAACCTATTCATTTGTTTTACAAAAATAAAACCTTTTAATTCAGTGATAAATCTCTGCATACCGAGCCCATTCACCCCAAATCCGTGACATGTTTTTACCTATTTTCTTCAATATCCTCCTACACTTTTGCAAGTATTAGCATTGTATTCCTTGTGACTTAATGCCTGCATAGTTTGCACCTAATACTTTCATATTGTATATGCATATACATTATTACTATAAGGGAGACAGAGATTCTAAACGTCCTTTGCATTTTTACTTTTTCTAGATCCAGATCTGCACCCTTGTATCCCCCTTAACAAAAGCAAACATTTCAAACCTGTTGCTGCCACTAACCTATCTATTCACCACACTGGCTCCTACTTTCCTTATAGCTTGTCCATCAGCTGCCTCTAATCTTATATAATAATAACAACTAGTATTTATACAGCGACTTTCTCCCAGTGGGACTCAAAGCGTTTTTCAGAGCACACTCTCAGAATTAGCCAAATCGGCAGCTGAATAGTAACATATGTTATACATATGTTCCCAGCTTTCTGGCCACCAACTTCAAACACCCCTGCAACCTCATGGCTCAACTCACCGTTGTTACCTTCAGATCATAAGCTCACAAATTACTTTGCTAAGCATTTTATATAAAAGCCCTGCATTTGCTATATTGTTAGTTTACAGTAAAGGTCATATGTCCCTTTTGTATCTGTGCATGTTCATTATTTGTCTGAATTCCCTCCATTGTAAATTACTGTGAAATATGTTGGCGCTATACAAATACAAAATAATAATAATATTTCTAATAAATCAGTGGTGAATTAAACTTAGGTCTACAGGATCTTTCAGGGGAGGGCTGACCACAGATACTTGCAGGTGTGGGGGACATACACCAGGCCATGTTGCTGCCCGTCACAACTGGTCATTTGCCTTTTGTTTTTCCATTATATTTTCTTTTATAAAATATTCAGGGTTGGAAAGAATCTATTTGATGGCACAGGAGGGAGAAGATATAAGATGATGGCATGAAAGGGAAACATTAATTGGATAATAACATAACAAGAGAGAATGGAAACTGATACTGACATGATGAGAGACATGATGTAAGGGGATATCAAAGACAGATGGCAATAGGAAAAAACTAGGGGAAGATGAATATAGGAGGGAAAATTATTGGGAGATGAGTATAAAATGAAACATAACCATAAGGTAGCCAAGGGAGGGAAATGGGCATGGGAGGAAAAAGAAACTGGACGATGGTCAAGAGATGGAAAAGATGCAGGAGCAAAATGCTAAATCGTGTTATGCAAAAGAAACAAGTATACGGATTCTGAGGAAAATCAGTCAAGTTCCCAGGTGTATCTGCAAAACCGAGGGTCAACATATCTTGCCTTACCTTATGCAGCGATTAGTCAATGCAAAAAATAAATAAAGTGCTAATAAGTCAGAAAATACTGAAATCCAATAATCTAAATAATAGAAAATATATATATTGTAATGCAATAGAATGCCACCAATATGTATACAGTTTCGAACCACTTACTTGTTTAGGAGCTGTGAGCACACTCTATGGAATGCACTCAATGGGTACCTACCATACAATCTATGCCTTCTTTACTAAAAAGGTTTTGGGGAAAAATTCAATTTCATAGGAATTTTCTTACATTAAACTAATGATATCACAGCTGCTTTGTAATTAGAGTTTAAGTATTATATTTTATGTATTTATTACATTGCATTAGAATAGCAAATAATAACATTGCCTTTTCTATTAACATTAAAAAAAATGAAATCATTATTTTATCAGTGAATGTATATCTTAAAAATCTGAAAGTCATTTTGCATCATATTTTTTTTGGTTAAGTGTAGGGCCACCTCTGAAAATAGGAATGTAGGTAATCTTCCACTGTTAATGGTGAGGGTTTGTGGATCACAATGCAATTTTTCATTAATTTTATAAATAATATTCCAGGCATGATCTTCATATGGTGTAAAGTCCTACACCTAGTCTATGACATCTAAGTATTATTAGGCGCAAAAAAATAAATAAATATCTCTATTCTTTAAAATGTTGCAGGACATTGCACTAATACACATGATGTCAGATATATCCGTTCCGATCCCGTAGTTCCATCTTTAGAAACAACTGAAAAGGCAACCAAAGCTTATTGCTTCAATGCAGAGTCTCAGGGATAGCATTATGTCATCTATGACCAAAAAAGAGTTGCTGTTACCAACAAAGTCATGGTCAAAATTCTGCCATTGAAGGTCACGCTGAAGGTATTCCTCACTCATCTCACGTATGCAACGGAGAAACGCATATTTAGATGCCGTACTATAGGCCTCCAAAGTGTAGATATCATTTTCAAAATGCAAATCAAAAATAGCATTGTCCTACAAAGGAAAGAAAAAGTGTTATTCTCATAATGATACTGTTTACATTCAATGTCCCACTAGAATAAGATACACTAATTTTGCAGTGTTCTTTCTGAACCACAGATATTTTTTCACTGATAAATATTTTTCATTTTGTTGAGCGCCAAAGCAAATTGGGCTTAATATAGTCTCACACCCATGCAGTCTCACTGTTCAGTTCTCTGCCACTTCTGAGTTACATCACTGTTTATGCAGCCTTAGCCACGCTTTCCCTGGCTGAGACTCACACAGGCTCTTTACACACTTTGTAATAAAAAGAATAAAACATTTTAGCTACTCTTTGCACGGTGTGTTTAATATATACGTACTTATTCTCTGCACTGTTATTAGTCTGCTGGAGCCTGTCACCTACTGTGCATGATTAAAGCTCAGAGCTGTGGTAAAACAATTCTCAAGTAAACACATTCTGCTTTAATCTATGCCATCCTTCACAGACTGCATTTTAATGAAGCTAGAATGGCATTTTGGTTTAAGCAATGTTAAATCCATGCTCACACCAGAGATACCCATATTTAATGGCCATAAACTGACTGATGAGCTGCATGCAGCGCTCAAAGTGTACACTGCATATAGCCCTATAAATGCATTTAAAGGGGCTCTCTGGGCATCATTACAAATGTATCAAAATTAAGTTGTTATAGTGCCAAGAGGACACTGGTGCCATTCACAAACGGTTTAACCGCAAAGTCTCCTCTCCAGTGCAGTTTCGCTCTGGCCCTTCCAACATTTGCCTTCTTCATGGACAGCTGCATACAATGGCGCCAATAAATGGATTAGAGTGGTCTAAGCAAATCATTAGCTCCCCATTATTTAAAAAAAACTGCCTTTGAAACGTGTGAATGTTTCTCCAGTCATTTTTGTGACTGGAGAGCCACTAATTGTCTTAGAGCAGTTGTTCCCAACCCAGTCCTCAAGTACCCCCTAACTGTCCATGATTTAGGGATTACCCAGTTGTGTCTAAGGTGTTTTTAGAAGGAAAAAAAAAAACTTTAGACACAACAGGGTAATCCCAAATCCTGCACTGGTAGGGGGTACTTGAGGACTGCGTTGGGATCCCCAGTCTTAGAGCATTGGCTGACCGGTCTAAACAAATTAGCGGTGCCCCTGCCAGTGGCAGTCTGAGACTTCCATTTGAAAATTTTCAGAAAGCGGATGTAGGAAGGGGAAGAGCGTAATGGTGCTGGAGAGGAGACTTTTGTGATTAGTTTAACCACTTAAGGTAAACCAGCACAAAGGACCTCCTAGCACCTTAAAGGGACACTATAGTCACCAAAACAACTACAGCTTATTGAATTTGTTCTGGTGAGTAGTATTATTACCTTCAAGCTTTTTGCTGTAAACACTGTCTTTTCAGATAAAATGTAGTGTTTACATTACAGCCTAGTGATAACTTCACTGGCCACTCCTCAGATGGCTTGTAGAGATCCTTCCTGGGTCATGGCTGCCTAAAATGCATCTAAACATTCAGTATCTCCTCCCTCTGCATGCAGACACTTTCCTCATAGAGATACATTGATTCAATTCATCTCTATGAGGAGATGCTGATTGGCCAGGGCTGTGTTTGAATTGTGCTGGCTCTGCCCCGATCTGCCTCTTTGTCAGTCTCAGCCAATCCTATGGGGAAGCATTGTGATTGGAGCAGGCTACCACTTCTGCTGATGTCAGGAAAACCGGGACAAAGTAAACAGCTGCAGACTTTAATACAAGTAAGATTTTACTATATTTCGGGAGGGGACCAGGGTGGCTAGATGGTGGTTTTAACCCTATAGGGTCAGGAATACACATTTGTGTTCCTGACCCTAAAGTGCTCCTTTAACAACTTAATTTTGATGAAGTTGTTATGATGCCCACATTGTCTCTTTAAATCCCAGCTGCTGAGTGAGCACTCAATAGTCAACAGTGCTTATAAGGTATTAGTCTGAGGGTGTGAAAATAATCTGACAGGTTGTCCCTGGATGCTCCCTACTGTGATCTGTGCTGAACATTACTAGCTGTTCAGCACCTATCACCATGCAGAATGATGCTGCAGAGGTTATTATGCTATTTACTTAATTTCCTGCATTACTTATCCAAGTATTATTATTAAACACTATTTAAAAAAAACATATTTCACATTAATTTGGTATGTAAAGAAATCAACATTTAACAATAAATACGAATAGAAATAATATGTATAATAATAAAATAGTGGATTTGTTCCTGTCAAAATATAATACAGAGAGTAATATAACCAATTGTATGTCTAAATATATTGTATATCAGTATGTAACAGGGCGCGTGGAATTGTCTACAGAAGTAGAATCAGGGCTTCCTTAATTGATGGTAAAGTAGTAGACTTCAAATAACAAGGTATGATCGACTTTGCTGAGATAAGAATGTGGCCTACTATGATTCTATCTAATTTACTTGATGTCTTAGGGAGATTTTTGAATAAACCCACCTCTAGAGAGAATGTTATAATTGACGGATCTATCTTTTTAATCAGTGAATGTATTCCCTGCCAGAACGGCTGCAATCTTGCACAGTGCCACCATATATGTGAAAGAGTACCAAGGCCTCCACAACACCTATCTGAATATTTTATGTTTATGAAGTCTTGAAGGGGCCAGGTGCCACCGGTATATAATTTTTTTGTGATTTTCTATATGGTTGGAACACTGAGCGATGATGTGAATGCAAGCCATTCCTCCAGGTCCCATTGCAGACCCAAATTTTTTTCCCAGGCTAGAATATAATCTGGTTTTGGATCTTGAACTTAAAAAAAAAAAGAAGAAGAATAACATAAAGAGATCATATATTTTTAATTTGAGAAAATAAATAAATGTTTTCAATGTTTGAAATTTTTAATTTTTCATATTTGTGGTCCGGATTGGGGATGTCAAATTGCTCTTGTAGAATCTCAGTAATTGCAGAGTACCAGGGGGCCTACTATCGTCCAAATCATATTTAATTTTAAATTTAAGTACTATTTAAGTATTTAATTTAATATTAAAGTAAGTACCTCTAAAGTGGGGAAATTCCTTCTTAATCAAATCAATTCCTTTTGGAATCTATTACAAGTATTCACTTCGCAATAACTACATTAACACATAATTCAATATACCCCTCAGCCTGTCATAAAAAGCCATAATTAAGTTAATTGACTTAAACATTGCACCATTTTTTTTTTAAAAGCAGAAAGAGTGGTTGTGTTTGACTTTATATCTTTAAAGCCAATCAGGAGTGAACAGGTGGAATCTGATGACATGAAGGTCATATACATTCCTCAACACTTTATACAAATAACATTTTAATTTTGGGGGGAAATTCCTCAATAATATCAACGATTTCACCTCTGAGTGCCACAATCCTCATGGTATACTCCACATATTTAGTTACTCTGGGTAAAAGGTAATGCATTGGTAGAGACGGTCACTTCTCTGGATTTCATACGATTAAATAAAAACCTTGATCAACACATATCACTTGTGTGAACCTTTTTCATATATTTTTACAAGAGATACAATATTTATATTTATAATAAATATTTTGCAAATTAAATCATAATCTATTTCAGAGAAGGCAAAGTAAGGGCAACATTTGCAAATGACGAGGAGAAATCGAAATATTGCTTAATTTTTCCTCTGCTCTGTATGTATCTATGATAACTGGTGATAGAAGACAGTGCTTATAACAGTGATTGACAGTTGCAAGATAAAGAGAGAGAGGTTTGTGTGTGTGTGTGTGTGTGTGTGTGTGTTTTGTTGTTGTTTGTTTTTTAAAATATCAGTTCAATTAAACATATTATAAATCCTGGGTTGTAACAGTTCCTCTTTAAAAAGGTAAAAGTGGATCAAACCACCTATTAACAAGATGTTTACCACTTTCATAGCTTCAACCCGGATTTCTACATCTTTTAGAGACATTCACTATAGTGGTAATTCAATGTGAAATTCTGATTTAAGCCCAAAATACACAAACTTGAAATATTCTCCTAGTCAGCTATGCTTTCCTTTCAACTACTTTGGCCTTAAATTTGAAAATCACTTTAAATTCACTTTGCATTCCCAACAAGTCTCACTTTAGTAAATAACGCAGTTTATCTCCTTCGGTCTACTGAAGTCACAGACTTTTCAGAGATGGATGCCCATTAAGTAATTTGCAAAATAAATAACCATTGATGTCTGTTTGAACACACGTAATGAACTCACCCTGAAAGCATCAACGCCATCTATAAGAGCCAATTCCTTTAATAACCAGGTGTGCTTCCTTTCATAATTTATTATTGACTGCTCTTCCCTGATACGTAACCAAGTAATGCAGACATCATTTTCAGAGGTCACTGTAATCAAACATAATAGCCAGTATTCATTTTAAATAACATATCAGTACTTTACTAGAATATAGAAAAATACAGATACAACACGGATTCAAATATGTCTAAGATTTGCCCATCATCCTGCCCAATCAACTAAACAGTCAACATTTTGCATTATCACCATTTACTTAATACGCTCAGTAAGACATGAAATGAATAATGCTAAATCCAATTTTAGGGAAGATACAAAGATGGCTTCAATGATCTTGGGTTTGCCAAGGTCCAACAGCAAGTAGAAGTCCCTTTCCTGAATTTATAAATAATGATTTAAAATATATTAAAATGTGTATATATAGTTACAACGTATTCCATAGCAATGTAAAAATGTCGGGTAGGAACTGCTATTGAAGTTCCACATTCCGTGTATAATGGAAGGGATAATTATATGTAAGAATCTGACATGCACACAGAGTTGAACATAGAGCTAAACTATTATCATTGCCGCTATAAAAAGCACATTAACAATAGTCAATTCTAGACTACTCAGACCATTGCAAATCAACAAATTATATACATATATACATATCTGGTATTGTAGTCGGGAGATGCAATTAACGTTTTTGATAGCTCTTAGTGGTTTAAAATATATCCTTCAGTTCGA